ATTGCATCAATACTGGAAATTGGACACCCTAATTCCTTTTACAATCACATAGTTGTTGCCATGATCATCAAGCGTCACCTACACCTCCCATTTATGAGAAAACTCATCACGATTTTCAGGAATAATCTTTATGTAAATCCCATCATCTTTCGCAATCCAAATGCAATCTTTCCAATTGCATCTATACTGAAGCCAACTATGGTCACTCTCCACCCAAAACACATCCAATGCTGCATGCTTCTGGCCCGTGCTCATGTAGCACCAATACAACGTCGATCCAAAGAAATCCTCTTTGAAACTCCAATTGAACTCAGTCCCAGGTGCAAGGTTTCGCTCGCCTAGATCGTCGTCTTTGGATTTACAATGAGCAAACAATGTTTTTCCGGCGCTCAAGTTGTTAACCACGTGCACATGCCATCTATCAAAACGAATTCCCACAGTGTTCTCATGAGAGTTTCCAAGACATGGGGCACTGAGGGCTAATATTGCTGCACAGACGAAGAAAACCACATATCCTTTGAAAGCCCTCATTGTTTTGTGTTCTGTATGTTAACGTTAGGATCATTTTCTTGTTGTTTTATATTGCCAAATTGATCTGGTTATGGAACTTTGGATTATCCATATAACTCTTTTCCAAGTTTGCATATTTTCATAAAAGGAAGCATATGAATGACGTTCGACTATAGATTCATTGAATTAACTAAGGAATTATCTGCCTCTCTTTCCTATCCATAATTTTTTTTTATCCTTTTTTTTTTCCTGTTTTCTAAAATTATGAAATATTTTGAAGCTTAAAGACGATCAATTTATGGCTATATGTGGAGGTACACTTGTGCACCTAATGTTGTCAGTGGAGTCTTTCGTATATTTGGTTTAACTCTTTGTAGTTACTGTGCTTCCGTATTTGTAATAATCTTGTGTGGTTATCTGTATTTGTATTGGCTCACTGAAGACTTTTGTTTCTGAATTATAAATGCACTCTATCGTTTTTTTCTCAAAAAAGTTTCAAATTTATATTTGGTAGCATATTATTTAATTGAATAAAATTCAATTCATTGTATCGATGATGTGGTCCTTATTGCGTTTTGGATACAAATTAAATACAACAAAAGAGGATAAGCACGAAAGAATAATTAAAAAAGATAAATAAATAAAAAACAACGAAATTTTTATTTTAAAGAAGATGCATATACAACCGCAATTATTAATTAAAATTCTGAATAAATTGGACTAGTATATTGAAATCTTGATTATTATCATCGCCATCCATCTTCCCATTTCTTGGCTAACACATCACAATCGTTTGGAAAATCTTTTATGTAAACCCCATCATCTTTTGCTATATAAATACAGTTCTTCCAATTGCATTTCTGAAAGAGATAGATGTCTTGCCAAAAGACTTTTAGGGCAGCATGGGCGTTGGCCTTGCTCATGTAGCACCAAAAAAGAGTTGAGTGGACGAAGTTTGTTCTGAAACTCCATGTCGTATTTGCCCCTTGTGACAGATTTTGAATGCCCAAATCATCTTCTTTGGAATTACAGTGGACCAACAAAGTCTGGTTGTCGTTCAATCCATTGACGACGTAGACATGCCATTTTGTGAATTCTGGAAACACTTCGCTTTTGGATGAAGGAGAGCACCAGATGGGGCTTATTGCTATTGCAAAAGCAAGAACAAGTAGGTGGGTTTTGGTGATTGGGCTCATTGTCGTGGCTATATTTCTTTCCCTTTTGCTCCAAGTTTTTGGCTCTTTTCATTCATTATGTACTTGGAATTTTGACTAAATATACGATGGCGTGGGAAGATTGGTATTTATGCTTTGGCACGCACAACATGAAAATTAAAGCTCATTTGACTTGAGATTTAATGAGATATATTAATTCATAAGAAAGGCCTTGTGAAATCGATTGCATGCACAAATATTGGGAAATAATAACGCTAAAAATAAATCTAATGGGAGGTGTGTTTATATAATAAGAAAATAAGAGTTGATGAGTGTTGATAAGTTATAATCAGAATCTAATGAGTGTTACTAAAATATCAATCAATATTGCAATATCAACACAATCATCGTCATAGTCTAAGTTTTTTGATATGCATGGAGAGACGAATAATGTAATTGGAGTTAGGTATTACGTCTTTCCTTTCGATTTCTAGTATTCAATAAAAGCTTTCTCTTTTGCTCCAAGTTTTTGGCTCTTTTCGTTCATTATGTACTTGGAATTTTAACTAATATGATGGCGTGGGGAAGGTTGGTATTTATGTTTTGGCATGCACAACATGAATATTATGACGATCCAAAAGCACATTTGACTTGAGATTTAATGAGATGTTAATTCATAAGAAAGACCTTGTGAAATCGATTGCATGCACAATATTAAGAAATAATAACGCTAAAAATAAATCTAATGCGGAGGCATGTTTATATAATCAGAAAATAAGAGTTGATGAGCGTTGAGAAGTTATAATCAGAAACTAATAGTTGATGAGTAATACTAAAGTATCAATGAATATTGCAATATCAACACAATAATCGTCATAGTTCAAGTTTTCTGATATTCATGAAGAGTCAGAATAATGTAATTGTTGTAAGGTATTACGTCTTTTCTTTCGATTTCTAGTATTTAATAAAGCTTTCCCTCGTAGAGTCAAGATTCCTTCAAAAAAACAATTTTTTGATATCTTGAAAAGCATCAACTAAACTAAGTATGAGCCCAGCGTACATATTTGTTTTGGGGAATGTCTAGCAAATATTCTGTGTCGTCCCTGACATCCCATTTGCACTCTCTGAAATCGCACTTCTTGAGAAAATCATAGTCACACTTGAACAATTGGGAGGTGCCAAGAGGAGCATCTTGTGTTGCTAAACGGCAATCCCATGTTGTTGTGCCCAAAATGTCTGTGTGGAAACTAAAGCTGTAAGTCTCTCCCTTTCGGAGCCAATGCCTGCCCAAATCATCGTCAAATGATGTGCAATTCACCTCCAACTTGATGTTCCCGCTAAATCCGTTTCGAATGCTTACTTTGAAGTCACCAAAATAATAAGGAAAGTTAGCGTTGCATTGAGCAGCCATGGCTAGCAGCGTCGTTACAAGTAAGAAAACCACGTTGCTCGACATGGTGCTCATGGTTTGATTTGATTTGATTTGATTTGGCTTATTCTTTCTTATTATAGCTTTTTATAGGCGGATGATAAATGTTTATATACGTTCAGTAAGAGATTAGTGTAACATACGGAAATTAAACTTATTGTGTGCAGTTTGTGACATAATTAGTCAGGTAATTATAAGTAGTAACAGTAAGTAATAAACTTTTTGTCAATCACAAACGTATTGAGGAAAGTTGGACATGGACTTATAAATTTGACCCAATTTGGCCTTCAATTATTTCCCTTGTGGATATGCTCATATTGATGAAGCTAGCCTGTAGAAAGAAACCTATCTTCAAGTGCTTGTCCCAGATCAATTGCCCAACAAAAAGTGCTTTTTGAGCCCTATGATTAAACAAAATATTCATGACCTTATCCTTATGTGGTCACGCATGTCTTAAATTAAAAGTTTCAAGAGAAAGGGAGATTAGTATTTATTTATTACACTAATGTTGTTGATACCACTTTTGTTTAAATGAAGACAGATTTAAGGAAACAAAAAACATGGACCCATGGAATGCTTTTTGTGCTATCATGAAGGAAACATGTATATATTATATACGTGCTCAATCTCTCAACTACATCTACATGCATGTTCTTTTACTGCATTTAGCTTCTCAACTAAAAAAAGAAAAAAAGAAAAAAATCACAACCAAAACACTTTGGGAGATCGACCTAACTACCTATGGAGAAAAACTTAGATGCAGCGGGAATATCACTGTTTTGCTATCCCCGGTCAATATGTCACGTGAAAGTATTATCACACGTGTCATAGTGTTATTGGCTGAAATAATAAAATAGTGATATTCTCGTTTCATGCTAACTTTGGCTATGCATTATAGTAGAAGCAGAAGTGGTTGTTGTTTTCTGTAGAGGGTGGATGCTTTTCTGGTTACTAATTCAATTCACTCAATAAATTGAGCTGCCATCCGAGCTAACCCTTGGGTCACCTCATTTATGGTTTTATTTACTTTTAAATAAAAAAAATTCCAGACGTATTAAATTTTTCACACATTATGTGTTCAGTCTCGATCTTTACTGGGTTCCACACATTTTTGTCAGGTGACAGAGAGATGGAGAGTTATTGCTCACTGGTGCTCCAGACTCAAACCCAGCATTGCAACATGAACTCATGGCATAGAGCTCTTTCAATCGACCAAGTAATAGTAAATGCTAGGTTGGTCAAGTGGGTGATTTTGCTTCAATGAATTGATGGTAGGCAAGATTGCCACAATCAAAAGTAGACGTACGAGAAATGCTGCATTTTTCTGGAACAATTTATCATTCATTTATTGTAGCAAGAAAAAAAAAAGAAATAATGTCCATTTCTTGGTCAAGTTAGTGGTGTTCTAATTTTTTTTTAATGAGGAAAGGGGATGCAACACGAAGACTTCTCAGAAGGTCACTGTTAATAGTGTTCTCTCTGGATTCTGGTAAATGACCTTTTTGGTGATGGTTCTTCTGATCATGACCTTCACGACTACGATTGCTTCCATTATGAAATATTTATGCAGAGAATTCTCGGAATTTTTTTTTTTTCTTTCTGTGAGAACTTTTGTTAGAACAGAAACATTTACTGGTTTAATAGTAAAGATAAAGATCAAACATTTTCTTGATATAATATTAAAAAGGCACAAGGAAACATTTTCTTGATATAATATTGTTTGACTAACTAGTAACTAGTATTAGGAAGACACAAACGAAATATTTAAGAAAATACCCTTAGCTCATGAGTCATGACCTCACACAACTAACTTAACTGCCAAACACTTCAACAGCTAAACTTTCACAAATTAATCCCATAAAGAGGTAAACACACAACACAATCAATCCCATATTTGAACTACATCTTCAAGGGTAGGGAAGAACACCACTTCCACCACCAACACCGCCACCAACTCCGCCACCAACACCACCACCAACGCCACCACCAGCACCTCCTAAAACGCCACCAGCACCTCCTACTCCACCAAGACCTCCCAAGCCTCCGGTGCCGCCTCCTAAGCCGCCAAGACCACCCAAGCCTCCTAAGCCGCCTAGACCACCCAAGCCTCCGGTGCCGCCTCCTAAACCACCAAGACCACCCAAGCCGCCTGCACCACCCAAGTCACCGATTCCACCACTACCACCACCAAGCCCGGCAACTCCGCCTATCCCAGCGCCGCCACCAAGTCCACCTCCAAGATCACCACCACCACCAGCCCCTGCTCCAGCAAATGGAAGCCCATTGCTGCCAATACCAGAGAAGCCACCAACGCCACCGAGGAAGTTCTTTTGGTCTTTGAAACCAGCGTCATTCGCTGTAGGCACGTTTCTAGCTGTAGTGTGAGCTACAACTAGAGCAAGAACCAGCACAATGCACCACCTTGCCATCTCTCTGTTTCTTCTCTCTCTGCTCTCTCTGCTCTCTCTTTGTTTTTGCAGTACTTGTGGTCTCTTTAGGTCGCTTGGTTTGTGGAGAAGGGTTTGAGGGTTTGCTTATAAAGGCAAAAACAGCGGTGGGGGGCAGTTGGGTGTAGTAAATAAGTTTAAATGCTGGCTTTGGTAGCTAGCTTTCTAAAGCTATCTAATATTTCCCAGGCTCATCACTTTTCATGATTTGCTTTAGCTAGAGCTTTCATTAGCTTAAGCCTAAAAGTGCTTTTTTAAAAAGTTCACAAGAAAATCAACAAACCACAATATATTTCGAACAAAAATCAGTTCCAATTGTTGTCAGCAAGACTAATGACATGCAATGAAGGCTAGCTCTAGCTGTTTGAATTTTCATCAAAACAGAGCAAACAGAGTAGCAGCTTCTACTCCAGCTTGTGACCGTGGATATATAATATTGCTGGTTCAGATTCAATCAGATGATGACACGTGTATATCTAATGCAAAGACAGCTAGCTGACTGACAAGGGCCAAGTGTGGACTGAATGCTATAAATAAATAAACAATTCATTGACCCCACATTCATCATATATATGGCTTGGGTTTAAAGTTAGACGAATGCATTGCCAGAACTCAGAGTACAGATTTTCTGTCAATTTTTACTTTATCTTCCTAACTGTTTTTGTATATTTTGAATTTCAACCATTAACCAAACATTCTAATTCATTTATTTCTAAAATCTTTTTTTTTTCTTTTTTTCACTTGGGAAGGATTAAGTGAATCTTAAACCAACCTCCACATTTTAAATTGATATTTCTTTAATCTGTTTTGCCTAAGTTAGGAAGAGGGAGTGGGAAAAATTCACACAAACGAATACCGTGGGGGTTTGCCTGGGACAACGTTCAGACTTCAAAGACTGCAATGGGGCCTGCATAGCCAAGCAGCATCCCAAGGGGGGCGCCTGTATGGGATTTGGAACTGAACCTCCGACTTGCTGCTGTAATACTAATGTTCAGGTTTTAATTTACAAATAAATTATTAGGTTCATCAAATTTACCCAATTGCATGCAACTCTGTAAGTTGTGACCTTCAAAATTTAGAACTAATAAACTTTGGGAACCTTTCTACAACTGGACTAGTACCATATCCACTATTCTAGAAGTTTTCTTTCAATTTGCTGCGTTTTTATTTATTTACAAGACATTTGATATTTGAGGGATCCCTCGATTGAAGGACATTATATATGGGGAGCTTCGATTCAGTTTAAATGGAAAATTTTATTTGCAAACACAAACAAAAGTCATCTCAGAGTATGAAATTAATTGTTTGACAGAAATCCACTTAAAAAAAGAAAAGTACTACCAAATAGTTAAACACTGCATAAATTGTTTGGCTAAACACTAATTAAGTTGTAAGAAAACCACTGCCAAGTCTTGATCATCCAAAAGAGGCAGCTCTCTGCATAATGTCCTCATTCTGGATGATTGTTCTGTCCAGCCCCTTTTGTGATCCAGAAGAAATCACCACATCAAGCTTTTCTGGATCAGATAACAATGCAGTGCCCTTCAAGAAATAAACCATGATTAAGCAACCAGTCATTGAAAAAGAAAATAATGTCATATGATGTAGAGAGAGTAGAAATATAAACCTTGATCAAGCCTGATAAATTTTTTGAGTAGCTCTCAGGAGGAGCAGCAACAACTTTGGTGCAGGATTTTCCAACCCCACCTTTTTGTGATTTAGATGCAATCACCATATCAAGCTTTCCAGGACTAGATGAAGATGCAATGTCCTTTAAGAAATAAATGGTAAAGGAACTAGTCAATACAAAATTTAAATAAATAAAAAAGGATGCAATTTGAAGTATCAGAATTGATCAGAAATATCCTTGCAAGTCGATAGAAAGTGATAGCACACAAAGGAAGACTTGAAAACGCGTAGAAAACTGAAACAGCAAAGGCGGGGCGACCGGTCGCGGATACCTTGCGACCGGTCGCGGATACCTTACGACCGGTCGCAGATACCTTGCGACCGGTCGCTTTGGCACAGAGTTGAAAACCAATTCAGACTTTGCAATCTGCCTGAAACCGACCGGTCGCCCATAACCTGCGACCGGTCGCTTGTCTTCATTTTTGTATCTTTAATTGAGCCATTTTTTCTTCAACACTTCATCATCAGCAAACTCATCGAATGACCTCATATCGAGCTGGTACCGCAGAATTCCTCCAATCCCCCCGAAACCGCGACAGAACTGTGACCCCTCTTGTGATTTGTTGGTGACAAACTCAAGAGTACAACCAAAGCTCTTGTACTCATCAGCAAGCCACTCTAGCAGTGACATCTTCTCCTGAATCTCTAGTTGGTCGGAGGTGACAGGATCTCGAAAGTTGCTTTGATTGTTTTCCTCCTCCTCGTTCAACTGTTTAACAAAAATCTCCTCAGTCTTGGAGTTCTTTAACACATACCTATTGATCTCCAGATTTTCATACACAATGAGTATCTTAATAGCACCCATCTCCAAAGCTTTTAGTGTATCATCTACACCAACAACATACTTTCCTGTATCCTGGTTAACTTCCTCAAAGTATTTGCCTAACAAGTGCTGCTCCTGTATAAATTTCACATTGGACAGAATCTCTTGAGACATCTTAATAGCCTGATTAAAACCTTCCTCTCCTCCATAAGAAATATCCACAACTTTCAGTATTTTGGCCTGCAGACGAGGATCAAACCTACCTGACTCACTAAGCTTAGTTTTGAAGTCAGCTGATCCAGCCAGTATTAATCCTTTAACATTGGGCTGGTTGGTGGCTGGATCAATAAAAAGGTTTGTGGCAAGCTCTGCTGTCTTGGTAACATGGTTGTCGCGGGCCTCTTGTCCAATACGAGCAAATCGAGCAGCTGATTGCCCTCCTCTTGCATGTTTCTTTGGGAGGTGAACAAGATATCTGTGAAGCACCTCCCTCACATTACCACTCAACGTTCCAAACAGAGACTCCTTACCATCCATGATAATGAAACCAAATTTCTCATCAGATTCTAAGAGAACAGTCAGAGCTTCAATATGGAACTTGTTGTCACAGAGGTAAAGAGACACATTGATGGGCTTGGAAGGCTCAAAATCAATTGTGATCTTCTTTTCCTTGCCATCTTCGGTAACAATTGTTCCCGTATACAGAACAAGCCCATTAGGAGGAACCTTGTTGTAAAGCTTGAGCCGCTGCTGAGCAGATGCAATTGCTCCTTGAACAGATTGACGATTCACCCTGCTTTTGATGTTGGAAGCGGATCCTAATTCTTCACTGAGCATCTTCGCAACTTGAGGTATTTTATCGCGGGGAGGTACGATGAGAGAAATCATGCTGGTACCATTGCCCCTTGCAGCTTCAAGCCCCTTGATGAGCTTCTTAATTTTCCACAACTCAATGTTCTTATCTGGAGTCTCATGACGATCTTCCATTATGAGGATCAATTACAGCAACAACAGAAACAACGGTTGAGAAGCCTGTCCTGCAAATAACAACTTCAAGGCAAAACAATAACAGTTGGGAATGTTAACAATAAGAATGAAAGTCAAACAAAGAAGGCCAAATTTTCAGATATGTATTCTTCTCCAATATGGAGGTATTTATAAGGAAGTACAACCCTAAATAAAATAGGAAATAAATCTAAATTACAATAGAAAACAACCGTAAATTACAATAGGAAATAAATCTTAATTATAATAGGACTAGACAAACAAGTAAGTAACCAAAAATCCTAACATAGTACGGAACCAAAAATCTAAGTAAGTAAGGACTTGCTAACATTTTCTATGTGAAACTTCGATAGCTTTTCTGATATTCTTCTTCAGTAATTACAAAACAAGAACAAAAAGGCATGCAATTCACGGAAAGCGTTAAGCAAGCAGCCTGCATAAAACATGTAAGTAGTTTTGTTATCTACAAGTTGCAGGCATATTTGATCGCACAAATTCTTCTCTAAGTTTTTGCAATCTGAAAAGCTCAAATTGTCCTGTTAATAATAATTAACTTTATGATGGGTTAAGTTTTGGATTGGCAGTTTGAGATTAGATATGAAAACCTAGTTGACACAAAAAACAGAAGAAAAACCTCAAAACAAAAGAAAATATGACTAAGAAGGGGGAAGGAGTAACTCTAACTCACCTGATGGATGCTCTGCTCTGGTACCTCGCAAAGCTAAGAGAAGTCAAAGAAAACGAAGACCTAAGGCCTCTCTATCTTTATCT